TGTTTTGTTGTACGGCTCAGCAGGTTAGCATTCCTCTGCTCTGTCCAGATGTCACTCTTCATGAAACACAGCCATTACAGCTAACACTGGCCTGTTGATGTAACAGAATTGAAGTGTTTCTTGCCACAGGCTAGGGAGGAGAGAAAAGTAAAAGTGAAACAAACAACTATATCAAACCTAGTTATGAGAAGTCAAATAAAGTCTTTCGACTTGCAATGCCTAGCAATATGACTGTTGGTTTGTCATGACCAAACAGTTAAGCAGCTACCACTACTGTGTAGGCCTATAAAATGTAATTAATACTAATGCAACAGTGTAGAAGTAATAGCAGATACTACATATCTACTGTACATGCAACATTACTTGCTACACTAGTGTATGAGTGAAATAAACAAAGTTGCTTATTGGATTTTACAATGGATTGCAAGCTGACATTCAGTCGCAGTTAACATGATTATCATGAACATATTTGCATTCACTCCATTCTTGACTTTGAAGTACTAAAATGGGAGGGCAGCTATAGAAGGGACAGTGATCCCCTGTAATTTGTCACACTGCACATAGTACACCCTTGTTATGTGCTTTTTATTTAACTATGGCATGTACAAAGCCAAGTGTTGTTGCATCCTCCCTTCGCAGTGTTGCGTACACTGCAAACACATGCTGGCTGTCAGATTTTCCACCAACCCTGGTTATGAGTAAAGGTAATGAGGTATCTGATCATGTTGATACAGATGGACTAGTTTCCATAAAGCGGTCCTCTACATAACAAGTCATGTTGAAGTTTTACAGTCTTGCAATTAGTTGCTCCAACTCTATTTCTGCACCTTGTTGGAAAAAGGCAAAGCTGATAGAGTGCAGACAGCTGTAAGAGGTCAGAGTGGGTTAGGGTCTGACAATGGGAAGCTGGGAAAGGGTTTTACAGGCCTAGATTCATATAATGACCTGAATACTGTGGACAATAGAGAACTAGTTTACCCTTTAATTATTTGAGCTGCTGCCGTGTATCAGTTGTATCATGTTTGCCCAACCCAGTGACACAGTCCCTCTAGCTGTGGTTTGAATGCATGCAGTGTATAAAAGCCAGAAGGAAAGAAAGGAACATATAGAAAGGCACATATAGTCTCTTTCACCATCTTTTTCTTTGACACACACACACACACACACACACACACACACACACACACACACACACACACACACACACACACACACACACTTTTACTCACACTTACACAAACATATACACACAGGGATGCACACACCAACTAAAAACACCACTAATGACTTGCACAAAGTAGCGGGGGTTAAGCTGTATGACTTCTCTGTCTCTGTGTTAAGTCTTAAATGTTTATTAAAGAGGAAGTTTAGCAAAGAGGCTTTTTCTAACCCTAAGCAGCTAATGGACAGCGATATTATTTTCCATGTCTAATCGGCTTTGAAAAGTGCAGACACATTACTGTAAAGTTTCTCTCCCTCTTGAACATTTGCGGTTTTGAAAACATTTAATAGATTGTTGGAAAAACTCTCAAATGGTCCAACTATACCAACCAAGCATAATGCAATCTAGATAAAGTAAACAAATGACCTGTTTGGTGAAAGGTCTTTAAGATGCTTTGCAGGAGCTGCTCTCTGGAATTTGTTTGTTGGACCCATGACAAATCATAATTTTCTTTGTAGGTTTGCCCTGAGAAATTTGCTTTTGTTTAGAAGTCATGAACTTTGCACTTTGAAAAGACTTGTCAACATAGCATCTTTTCTGGGAATTGATCTAGTTGTAAATACACCCCACCCCACCCCCACCCCCCCACCCCTCTGGATACATTGGCAGTCTGTCAAAAAATGTCTTTGGACTTAGTTGCATTTTGTGTTTGACTGAGGCTACAATTTATTATTTGTTGTTTGGGAAGCCGATACAGAAGAGACATACTTTTTGAGAAGCCCAGGGTTTGAATTATAGGGGGGGGGCAGTTAAGATTAAGACTGCTCAGTCATGAGCAGTGAGACAATGGAGGATTAGTGGTTGTAGAGATATCTTTTGACATGAATGTATAGTTTATTATTTCTTTTCAGTCTTTCAGTCTAGTCTTGTGTGGGTAGAGAGGTATAGCTAATCTTTTACCTTTTTTGATATTAGCTTTTATAATATTCACCCCCTTCATTTTCAGGAGTTTTACAGGTTGGATAATTGAACAATATTTAAACCATGTGTGCTGAAGGCTAAGTAATAGTATTATCTGTGGTGGAAAGTTACTAAGTACGTTTGCTTTAAGTACTGTACTTAAGTACAATTTTGATATACTTGTACTTTACTCATGCATGTACATTCAATGCTACTTTACACTTCCTCTCCTCTACATTTCAGAGGGAAATATTGTACTTTCTTCTCCATTTCATTTATTTGACATCTTTAGTGATACTGTAAGGACTGTTACACTTCAATTCATGATTGTCGTGAGCACTCTGATGAAACCTAAGCAAAACCTGTGCTCTCAGCTACTATTAGCAGTGAAACTGCACCCCTGCTTAAATTCTCTCCTTTGGTACAAACTTCTGTTAATGCATCCAGCACAGAGTTTATTCTGGCTTTGGTTGTGGGCCGCTTTGGCTGTGGGCACAGGTGACATGTTGGTACACGTTGCTGTAAAGCTTCTATGCTGTTCTGTGCTCACAGCACGGCTCTTGTGCGCCTTCATAACAGGCCAGTTAATCTTTAATCTTTTTAATTTGACATTTAATGTGAGCTTATTAACAAGAGACCCCCACTGTCCCCTCAGCCCGTTGTTAAATGAGATGGTTTGGAAGGCAAGTTGGAAGCTAAACTATTTTAGGTTTTTAGCATCAGGATAGTCATGTAGAAGACAATGTTTGGACCAGCACTGATTGAGTCATAGTTCCTGTCAGCTGACAGCTGAGAATTTCTCAATCAATGGCAAAATCCTGGTGAAGAAGCTGTGAATCAGTGCTTCTGCAGTAGTCTCCCTTAATTGTTGCTTCAAATACAGCTGTTGTGTTTTTATCCCATTCGACTGATGGCAAGATGACACTAGAGGACAGTGCTGACATTGTTTTCAGTCTTATCTCTTCTCAGGCATCACTACGCTCCAGCTATGTTTTTGTCATGGTTTGGAAAGACAGATAATCAGGAGTTCTGCCTCCATTGATCCCCTAATTTTTTAAGTAAACAGTAAGGTTAAGGCTTTAAAGAAGCCTTTATCATTGATACATTTTAATTCTGAATGTTTTTTTCAGTTGATGAAGAAATAAAACATCACATCATGCCTCCAAAGTTAATACAAATTAATGTTATTGATTTGCGTGTCGCTACATTTTTGAAAGAGAATTTTTAAGTGGTGTTAATTCCAGAGATGTCCAGACTGAACATCAGTACAAAACCTTCAACCAATATACCTCTAAATATCTCTGATTCTTTGAAACAAACCCATTGCTCTTGTTTCCCCATAGGCAGATATGTGCCTTGCATGTGTGTGTGTAAGTACCCTCCATTCTCCTCCTCCCTCATTGTGCGCCATGTGTTAGATCAGGCCCCTGAATGAGTGTTCACCCCGGGTGACCGGGTGTCCTGGATAGTAATTGACAATTCCCCAAGCTAGAGCACAGAGTACTCTGTTGCAGTCTGCACACAGCGCATAACTATGCTTACCCACAGTGAAACCTACAGCATTGGGACACAGAACACAGGTGAGTGAAGACTGACAATGAAGCTCAACCAACTCACTTATAGCAAAGCTGATATATTTTCAACACATTTGAGAACTTTTATTTATTTCATGCCCACTTGGTAAGTTGGCGGACTTTTTGTTGCAGGATTAATTTGGGTTTCAAGATGCCACTGTTAAAGTTTACATGCTCCAATAACTCAAGCTTAGGTAATTTCGAGGTAATGAGGTGTGTGTATGCCTGTGAGTGTGAATGTGTATGTGTGATAAAGTTTGCAGTGCGATTTTTCGTGCAAAATAATTGCCCCAGGCACTGTTCTCATCTCTGCTTGATTTTTTTCTTCAAAAGCAGAAGTTAATGAGAGTAAAATCTAATTATTTGCCTGTTTATCACCTGGACTTTGCTTTGTCAGTCTGGGCTGTTTTTGGCCTTTCACTGCAGCTTCACTGCATGAATTGTGTTCTAGTTTGCTGCTACATGGAGATTATTAAAGTGTTTGAATTATAATTAATAGTGACAATTAAAAGCTGATTGAATATTGAAGAGAATTGCCACAGAACAACTGGAGTTGGTATAGAACATTACATTTTTCCTGTCTACTTTGTTTTATTAATTACTGCACCAGCAATGGTGATGTTTTTTTTCCCCTAATAGAGATTTTATCCTAGTGACACCCCACACATTTCACTAGCTTTGAAAACTTAGATATTTTTAATTTGACATTTAAATGAAGTGTTTTCTTTTTATTCCAACTCTAGAAATAATCACTGTCAATAGTTTGTTTCCAACAAGTGATCTTATTTTATTTTTAATGCAAATTGATGACATTGATTCAAACCATGTATGTTTAACTGACTGCTAATCTGTAGCAACACCTTAGATATGAAACCAACTTCTCTGTTGCATTGTTTTACAAAATACCACATGTTAAAGAGACGTGGCTATTTTGGATGAAATTTTAACACTTCACTGTAGGTCCGTAGTTGTTTATAATAACTGAATTCATCTTTAAAGTAAACTGAGGTCAGCATTACTTTCCCCTTTTGTTTTCTTTTTATGTTAGAGAAGCCTCTGAATAAGCACTGACACCACTGGATACTTTATACTGTCCATGAAAGTCTGGTTGTTACAGTAAATGTGATGTACATTGACTTGATGCTGCACTCAAGCTGTCTTTGTTACCAGGATGTCTGACTGATTTGCTGGCAGGGAAATATGCATTTGTTTGGCTCAATAGCTCAAATTGTTGGTTCGCTTGAAAACAACTTTATTATTTATTTATTGTTAACCTTAAGTGTTTTTTTTCCTCTGTCCAATAGGACATGGGAATCATAAAGAAGACAGTCCATTTCTCAAGAGTGCTGATGCTGCTAGCAAGAAGAATGATTTCTATGACAGGAACCTGGCGCTGTTTGAGGTCTGTTACTTTTACTATGTAATATTTCTGTGAGATGATTGACTGAAACCAAACTCATTAATTTCACTTCTTCCCCCTTTATTCCTTCAGGAAGAGCTGGACATCCGGCCGAAGGTTTCCTCTCTGCTCAGCCGCTTGGTCAACTACACCAACATCACCCAGGGAGCCAAGGAGCATGAGGAGGAGGAGAGTACTGAGGCCTCACGTAGCAAGACCCCCAAGGTCAGGAGTCAGGGCACAGCAGAGGACTACTACTATGCCTTACTGTTTTTACTGTGTGCACTTGAGTTTTTGTAACATTATCCGCCACTCCTAGCTTCCTCCCTCCCTCGCTATCCAAGGTCTAGTTTTGTATTAAGACTTGTTGATTGATTGTTTATGCCTTTGCACGCTCTGCACTCAGGCTGTGGCTGTGTTAGACCTGGATACATAGAAAGAGCGGATAACATGATTGAACGACCTTTAAAAAGAACATCAATCAATACTAATGATCAATAGACTTGTTTCCTGAAATGTCATGCTCAATACTCTCCCCTCTCTCTTTACCCCCCTCCTTCTCTCCCTCTCTCCCTCTCTGTCAGTCTCCCAACATGGGCACTCTGATGGGAGTCTACTTACCCTGTCTCCAGAACATCTTTGGTGTCATTCTTTTTCTCAGACTGACATGGATCGTTGGGATGGCTGGCATCATGCAGTCCCTCCTGATTGTCCTCATGTGCTGCTCATGTGTTAGTATGCGCACACATACTGTACACACACACAGACGCACAGAGACAGTGTTGATTCCACCAGCAATGTGGGACATGAGCCAGCTTTTATTGGCTAAATCAGTCGATAGAATCCACATGGTTGCATGAGCAGCAGCAATCACTGTATTTAAGGCAAAGAATGTCACTTTGACTTGTGTTTTTACTCAGTGTGCTTTCATTACCTAAACCTTACATAACAGATACTGTGGTCGTATTAACATCCACGCTACATATGCTAAACATGTATGATTATGTTCTGTTAGATAGAAGCTTCAGCTGTCATTTTGTTCAGTGGATATTAATGTTACATCCAAAAGTTGCCATGACATCTGTATTTGTGCCCTTTTCCATATTATACTTTCCTTTTTCCTTTACAGACAATGCTCACAGCCATATCGATGAGTGCCATTGCTACTAATGGTGTCGTTCCAGGTAAAACTTGGGCTCATGTCCCCTGATCCGTGTCATACATTTACTCTGCACCATTTTCATCAGTTCTACACATACAGTTGCAACATTTTTCTTTTTTTTTGTAGCCTGACTTTATAAAAAAAAGTCCAGAACTGAATGGGTATTACTTGCTGCTTTTCTAATACGGTAATTACTTGTTGGCCCTTCATGTCTACTGACTGCTCTGAAAAAAATAAGTTATTGTTTCAATTACACATTCTTCCACTTGGGGGCAGCAGAAACCTACTGAATCCACTGCATGCAGTAGAAATTGTGAGATTTCCAGTGGATTTCTGTATCCAACAGTTTGTTTTGTCTTTTGTAGCTGGAGGAGCATACTTCATGATCTCACGCTCCCTTGGCCCAGAATTCGGAGGAGCTGTGGGACTGTGCTTCTACTTGGGCACCACCTTTGCTTCTGCCATGTACATACTTGGTGCCATTGAAATCTTCTTGGTCAGTTTGTTAAAATATTATTCTGCAGTGTCATTCCAGGTCACATGTGTATTCTGAAATGTGATTCCTAAACACTGCTCTGTAGTAAAAGATATAAACTATTTTTTCCCTATTCAGAAATATCTGGTCCCCCAGGCAGCCATCTTTCACAACACAGACCCCCTTGGGAGTGACAGTGCCATGCTGAACAATATGCGAGTCTACGGTTCTATCTGTCTCACTCTAATGGCAGTGGTGGTTTTTGTGGGAGTCAAATATGTCAACAAGCTGGCCTCTCTTTTCCTGACATGTGTCATTATCTCAATTGTCTCTATCTATGCTGGGGCAATCAAATCCATGACTCATCCACCGGAATTCCCGTAAGTCTGCAAGGGGAGGTTTGTTCGAATAAACGTGTCTTAACAGGCCGTGCTATGATTTATGGGGATCTTTATATGGGATTAGTGGTTTAAATGAGGAACAGGTCACTAGTTTGTTCCACCCAGAGAAATAATACTTGCTTCTGTATGATCATTTTATCTTGAAGTCAGGGTCTATTCTATGACTATCAGTGGCAAAGTGTGGAAATAACACTAAATTAACTTTCGGTTATGATAGTAAAGAATAGGTATATTGTGACGACAATGGTGATGATGATTGTGCTGGTGGTGGAAATAATGATGACTAACATAGTTTCAACTTCCATGTTTTCGCTGTAGGATCTGCATGTTGGGCAACAGGACTTTGGTGAGAGATCGTTTTGATGTGTGCGCTAAGACTGTGATAGAGGGCAACATCACCGTGCCCAGTCAGCTGTGGGACAGGTTCTGCCTGCCAGGGAACATGAGCAGCGCTCAGTGTGATGACTACTTCATGCAGAACAATGTGACAGAGATACAGGGCATCCCTGGACTGGGCAGTGGGATTATTAGAGGTAAACTGAGTATTAATGCATTAGGGAATGAAGTATACTACATAGGGTTCTATTGGATGATAACTCACAACTGTTTATTGTAAACATACTGATTATGGGGTAAAATAAAGTAGTATTATAGCCAGGAGTTATTATGTAGCAAAGTTAACATGAATAACACATATGGACTAATTGAATGTCACCCTCCTATAATGTCAGTTTGTTGCCAGTGCTCTAAGTTATCTGTTCTCCTGTTAGAAAACATGTGGAGCAACTACCTGCAGAAAGGAGAGATCTTAGAGAAAGACGGGCTGCAGTCAGTGGATGCCCATGGCACCATGGACAACTTCGGCATGTATGTGTCAGCAGACATTGCTACGTCGTTCACGCTCCTGGTGGGGATCTTCTTCCCATCTGCCACAGGTATAACAATATCGTAAACCAGGCGGCCCTGCTAAATCAACAGCGTTTATGGCACTCACCTCTGTCTGTGTCAAGTTACTCACAACTTTAAGTCTTACAAATATGGCAGTATAATAGTATGTTTGTCATAACATAATAAAAACCAAAGTGGTTGATCTGTAAAACCTGTAATCTATACGATGCAGACCATGTGACTTACTGTATATATGATTTCATAAGATAGACTGATTGAGTTTTTTATGCAGTATGAACCCATAAAATGCAAGTAGTCATTTTTACATAAGGTAATAAAAACAAATTAAAATTGGCATGCAGATGCAGCAAAACAGGGAGGTTTTAAGCCTCACTCTAATCCAGCCGGTCAGGGCATACTTCAACAGGTGTTACATGTCTCTTGTTTTTATCTATTGTCTTTATTTTCTTGTAGGTATCATGGCAGGCTCCAACAGATCTGGTGATCTCCGGGATGCTCAAAAGTCCATCCCTGTGGGAACTATTTTAGCTATTACCACTACTTCACTTGTTTGTATCCTTTATTTCAGTGACTACACAATACATTTTTTTATTTGATATTCATGTTTGTGATATAAACAGCTCCTTGACATCTTGTATTCAGATTTAAGTTCTGTAGTCCTGTTTGGGTCTTGTATTGAAGGAGTGGTCCTAAGGGACAAGTAAGTTCATTATGTCCTACTGCAAGTTACTACTATTATCAAAATTCCTGTTGTAAATAGTGAAATTAAATAATAAACAACAAATACAATATTTGATATTCATGTTTGTGATATAAACAGCTCCTTGACATCTTGTATTCAGATTTAAGTTCTGTAGTCCTGTTTGGGTCTTGTATTGAAGGAGTGGTCCTAAGGGACAAGTAAGTTCATTATGTCCTACTGCAAGTTACTACTATTATCAAAATTCCTGTTGTAAATAGTGAAATTAAATAATAAACAACAAATACAAATATATAAACAAATACTTGCAGGTTTGGGGACGCTGTCAGAAAAAACTTGGTGGTGGGGACGCTCTCTTGGCCGTCTCCATGGGTTATTGTCATTGGCTCCTTCTTCTCTACGGTTGGGGCAGGCCTGCAGTCCCTCACTGGGGCCCCGCGACTTCTACAGGCTATTGCCAAGGACAACATCATTCCGTTCCTCAGGGTGGGGAAGTACAGGATACTCTGTTGATAATACATTAACCATTTCATATTCTGAAATCATCTGAACTTCTGCAAGACAGAAATGGCTCCAACAGGCTGGAGAACAGACAGATAACAGTTATTTCTAAAACATAGAGTAATTTGAATACTCAGAATAACCTCGGAAATACATATAGTTTTTTGTGCTGGAAATATTTGCATTTGGTAATATATTACTTTGAAGTTTATTTGAATATGATATAAGAAATGATTTGCATTGCTGTGTTTTGTTTTAGGTGTTTGGTCATGGGAAGAGCAATGGAGAGCCTACATGGGCATTGGTGCTGACTGGCCTCATAGCAGAGCTGGGTATCCTCATTGCCTCGCTCGATATGGTGGCTCCTATCCTTTCCATGTAAGCTCACATACATGCACACATGCCAAAAAATATGGCATATACCATGTGTACTGTACACACCCAACACATTAATTTCTCTCAGACATGTCATGTATTAAATTCCCTGTTTGGTAAAAGGCCATCTGCAACATTGATGATATGAATACCTACTTCACATTTATACAAAATTGCATGTTTTTATTTAACAGGTTCTTCTTGATGTGCTATCTCTTCGTGAACTTAGCCTGTGCAGTTCAGACTCTTTTACGCACACCAAACTGGAGGCCAAGGTTTAAATATTACCACTGGTGAGTGCAGCTGTATGTCCACCATACTTCTCAGAAGGGGTGGGAGTACATTTTACTTTTCCCAGATTCTCCTGCTGTCACAAATTTAAATCACCAACTTTTCAATTACAAGACCACCTTTGTAAGAGTTATGCTACAGTTGCTGTCATGAAAGACTAATGCATTATGCATACTTGTAAATAATGTTACTGCTCTTGCTATGCAAAAACATAATTTCAGACTTTATGTGTCACACCCACAGGGCTCTGTCCTTCCTTGGTATGAGTATGTGTCTGGCTCTAATGTTCATTTCCTCCTGGTACTATGCTATTGTGGCCATGGGCATCGCTGGGATGATCTACAAATACATTGAGTACCAGGGGTATGTCTGGAGTCTAATAAGCATTTGAAATACTTTTACCTTATAGTGCATTCTCAATGATGGGATGGTGACATTTGCGTTTCTCTAAAAACAGAGCAGAGAAGGAGTGGGGAGACGGTATAAGAGGACTATCGCTTAGTGCTGCACGCTATGCCCTGCTAAGACTTGAGGTCGGACCCCCGCACACCAAGAACTGGAGGTACAGCTGCACCTAGAGGAGATGCTATGAATGTTTCCACACAAACAGTCAAAATGACACTTTGATTGCATTTCCGAGGAGCCACATGGCATGTTGTTGATGTAAAAGTTGTTTTCACATGTATCTTCAATAACAAAAGGAATCAGACCACCATTATTACACCTTGTCAAATAACTGTTTCAGTCCGTGGACTCTACATTTCTCCACATTTCATAGGCCAGTCAGTTTAATTTTGACGATGTTGAAATGCAGCAATGAGAAGCTTTATCGAAGTTTTATCTAAATTTTATCAGTGATATTTGAGACATATTGCGTGGCACCCACATGGAATGATGAATTAGAAGATTCTCTCCCTTTCATAAAAATGACATCCAGAAGGGTAAGTGTAATGAAAAACATTTTCAGGAAGTTGTGGTCTAAGGATATCTTGCAAAGCAGTTCCAGTAAGTTAGCTTGTCAGCTGTTTTTGTTATATATAATATGTTGCATATATGCTGTTATCACTCTAATGTTGCACTTCCTGTTTCCAACTCATTCTTAATACGCTGGCAGTGACACAACAGCTAGTCTTGAGAGGGCAATATATCAATAAAAGGTATACAAGACAGCCATGTAAGCAATGACTTGGTGGTTCAGAGGTCAAAAGATGTCTAGAGGTTGAGGTTAAAACTGGGATCAACTTGGTAGACAAGTGAAAGTTATTTTCACAGTAATTGTATCTATATGTAACACAATGACAGAATGTATAACTTTTGGTCGTGGGTTTCAAACTCTTTCTGTAATAACACATCTAAAAGGAAAAATCTTATCAGATAGGGTCCGTGCTCTAATTTGTGTCAGTTTAGGGGTCCTTGATGTGAAAAATAACAACAGGTATTGTTTAACCTAAACCAGTGGTTCAGGTTAGGATCTGATTCACACTGAAATATGCTTAAATGCTGTGAAAGCAACAGTTATATGTCTGATCAACTTGCGCATTTCTAAGCGAGACTTCTGTTGACCCGCAAATCAGAGACTAATGCTTGATACTGGCACTTGAAAAGTCCAATTTTATCAATTAGCATCATCTAAAAAGTGTATATGATGGATGTGTACACAAATGCAAGCAGACAGAAACCGATCGAATCATCAGTCCTTGCATTGGCAGTGACCATTCAGGTTTTCTTGATTTGATAGATGAACACTAGCATGAGCACGAGTGAATGCTTTCTTGATTCTTACACTATCAAAAGAAAATAATACATTTTTCTCTGTATTGGGGTGACTGTCTTTACAAAGACACATATTTGACCTCGGCTTTTGTCTCATATTATCTGTCTGTGACTCACTACTCACCTACAGACCTCAGTTGTTGGTGCTGCTGAAACTGGATGAGGACCTCCATGTGAAATACCCCCGACTGCTCACCTTTGCCTCCCAGCTGAAGGCAGGAAAGGGTCTGACCATTGTGGGCTCTGTCATCCAGGGCAACTTTCTGGACAGCTATGGGGAAATGCAGGCAGCTGAACAGGTAAATACTGGAAAGAGATGTATGCTAGAAGTGAAAAGAAACGTAAACATGCTTCACTTTAAATTTTTGTTGCATAGTTTTTTCTTTTTCACTTTAATCACAGGGCAGGGGTAGAAACATCCTGTTGTTAGCAGTACAGTACGGCCCCAATGAGCCATTTCAGATAAATTAGGGACGAGTGAAAGGAAATTTTTTTTAAATGTGATTTGTTTGGTAAAGAATTAAACACGTAAAGCAAAGTTTGCTCCTGTTTATGTGACAATTGAAACAAGTGAAAAAAGAATCAATCATCCGCAATTGACTTTGAGCTAAGCCTTTATTCATGCAGTAGAGCTAGTGCTCTCCAGGGAGGTGCTGACGAAAAACCTGTATTGATGCAATTTCAACTGTTGAACTGTTGTTTTTTTGCAATATAAGTATTTATAGTGTCATTATGATCACAATGCATTATAATCACATTTATTAGATGTAAGACAGAGGAACTGTCAGATCTTTTTTTTTTAAATGCTTTATAAGTGTTTAAATATCCACTTACTACTTACTAAAGCTCAGTTTAACCACTTTTTTATTCTGCCAGGCCATTAAGAATATGATGGAGATTGAGCGGGTTAAGGGTTTCTGCCAGGTCGTGGTGGCAACTAAGGTGCGTGAGGGTATTGTCCATCTGATCCAGTCCTGTGGTCTGGGAGGCATGAAGCACAATACCGTGGTGATGGGATGGCCATATGGCTGGAGACAGAGTGAGGACCCTCGTGCCTGGAAGACTTTCATCAGTAAGTCTAACTGAAATACTATTAACATAACGTAGAATGTAGAAGCATTGCAGCATTGCAGTATGGCAACACCTCTAAATGACTGCCTTGATTACATGATATTTATGGGAATGAGTATGTGTTTATGATTATGATCACTATCCTGAGCTTGTAGTTATAACAACCAAGGGGCTGAAAAAGCTCACCTGACTACACTTGATGATGATGACATGTATTCTGTGTTAGTTTTCAACTGGCTTGTACTATAGCTGAATTCATTAACACAGTATCCATCTGTACAGTACAATTACTAATAAAAGGCACCTCTACCCAGACACAGTCCGCTGCACCACAGCTGCCCACCTGGCCCTGATGGTGCCCAAAAATGTGTCCTTCTACCCAAGCAACCACGAACGCTTCACAGACGGCAACATAGATGTGTGGTGGATCGTCCATGATGGGGGGATGCTAATGCTGCTGCCTTTCCTGCTCAAACAGCATAAAGTGAGATGAAAGAGTTTACTGTATATCTTTCAGTTTTTCACCCTCAATAAACTACCTAATAAGTTTTAAATAATGTAGTTATACCATCTTAGGAAATGGTGCAGTGTGTTTGCCATTTAAAAAGTTTAAGCAATTTCTGCATATTCAAATTTTATTTTAAAAAAACACACAAGGGAAATTTATAAATTGTGAATATGTCAATATCAGTTTAATTAAAATAACTCACATACTCACCTTTAACAATCTTTATTATTTTTATTTTTATTGGCTCTTTCTCTCTTGAAGACTGTGGTTTATTTAAGCTTTTCTTTTGAAAAAGTATATTTTTGAAATTAAAAAAAAAAAAGTGTAAGTTTAATGAAATGTAAAGAAAATGCAAATTGGATAAAGAAATCTCATTTATGTTGGGAAGAAGAAAAATTAAAAACAGATGTAAGCTTTTGTCTCCCCTTATCAGTTTATTATTCCATTTCATAATCATTTAAAAACAAGAATGGAGAAAGAAAACAAAATCATCTTTGGAAGAAGTAAAAGATTTTTCCTTTAATATACTATCCACTTTCAGCAAGTAATTATAATCACATCCATTCAATACTGCACATAGTATCACACTTGTGGCAATAACAGCATGGTTTTGTTTGTATTTTAGGTGTGGAGGAAATGCAAGATGCGCATCTTCACTGTAGCCCAGATGGATGACAACAGTATCCAGATGAAGAAAGATCTAGCCACATTCCTTTACCAGCTGAGGATAGAGGCTGAAGTTGAAGTGGTGGAGATGGTGAGAGTTCCTCTTACACAACTCTGAATTTGAGTGGAGACTTATATAAGATTCTTTATGGCCAGAACACACGCAGTATAAATTTGACTCGGTAATAAAATTTGCAGCTGAACCAGACGCCCATTGTAGTTTACTGATGCAAACAGGATTGCTGTTTTTTACGAGATGCCACAAACATGAGGGCTAAAAAAAACTGCTTGCCTCAATCTGCCTGATAGTGGGGGCAGAAAACAAATATTTGAGCATGAATTCATTAACTTGCACTGCCACACTGTCCATGTTAAAAGACAAATATATCTCACTTGTACTAACCATTAAAATGATGTTTCTCAAATGGGATTTCAGCATGACAGTGACATATCCGCATACACCTATGAGCGGACGCTAATGATGGAGCAGAGGTCCCAGATGTTGAGGCAAATGAGGTTGTCCAGTGCAGAAAGACAAAGAGAGGTATGTTTTTATGCCTCTGCCCATGGTGACAGCCAGGGCTGGACGCTCTCTCTTGTGAGCGCAATATCTCAGTAATGCCTTGAGGGAATGTTTTCAAATTTGCCACAAACATTCACTTGGACTCATGGACGAACTGATTAGATTTTGGTGGTCTTGCAGGCCCAGCTGGTAAAAGACAGACACTCTTTGGTGCGTATGGGAAGTCTATACTCGGATGAGGAGGAGGAGGTGGTGGAGGCTCCTCCAGAGAAGGTTCAGATGACATGGACAAGGGAGAAGTGTGAAGCTGAGAGGAGAAACAGGAACAATGCCCCTGAGAACTTCAGAGAACTCATGAGCCTCAAACCGTGAGTCATATGTTAAACTTTTCACCTTTTTCCCACCTTTCCTCACTGCAATTTTCTCAGTTTCACAAAGTGAGAGCTTGCTTTGAAATAGTCCAAAAAAAGGTTTTCTTATCTGTCTCTCTTGCTGAACCCCAGGGATCAGTCCAATGTGCGACGAATGCATACAGCTGTGAAGTTGAATGAGGTAATAGTCAACAGGTCCCACGATGCTCGATTAGTGCTGCTCAACATGCCAGGACCACCACGAGACACAGACGGCGATGAGAACTGTATCCTTTGCCAAAATGATAAAACAAGAAGCGGGTCTTGCACAATTTGGCAAAGATTGTGTGCTATAGTACACATGTCTGCAGGCTAGTGTTTGTTTGGTTTTACTTCCTTAACTCTTTCTTCAGATATGGAGTTTCTGGAAGTGTTGACTGAGGGCTTGGAGAGAGTGCTGCTGGTGAGAGGCGGAGGTCGGGAGGTCATTACTATCTACTCTTGACCAATCAGGAGCTGCTACACAGGGGCCTCAGACTCATCAGAATACATTCCACCTATGGACACAAAGCAGCACCCACTCTGCTGCCCGACAGATGTTGGTAGATGCATCAATTTGACACTTTTTCTGAAGTATGGACTTTTGAGTACAAAAGAGGTTTATTCTATTCTTGTAGAATATTGAGTCACATTTGTGTACATATCTGTCCAACATGTTCACGGCTTTGCCATTCTTTACAAATGAAAGCTGTTTATTTTACTCCCTCAGTCAAATAATTTTTTGGTCAGACTGTCAAACACCAAGTCTAGGTTAGCATTTTCTTATTTATAGGTAACAAATACCTCTTCATATGTGAAAATAAACCTATATTTGACGATTTAGCAGACAGCACAATCCTGTTGTTAACACTTTTAATAATGTGTTGGATTTTTATTCTACAACAGCCTTTTGCTTATTTTGGAAACGTTTCTCTATTTATTTATTTATTTTTTCAACACTTCCCCACTGCGGTAAAAGAAAATATTACTGTAGATAATTCACATAAATCTTAACGTTTGCAACGCTGCATTGTAGGAATAGGTGGCACAAAATCCACTTCATAAATGTGGATGCCAGAGATTATAAAGTGAGTTTTTCAAAACAGATATAATTTATGATTTTTGAGATATTTGTGTTCTTATGAGAAAAAATGTACATGAATGACCTTTGACTTGTTATATTTGTACTTTTTCTACAGACCTGAAAAGCTTATCTGCACATTAAAAAGATGGCTTAATTTAAAGTTATAATCCTTAAGATTTTGATTAAATCAAACCCATTTTATACTATATATGGTCTGCATTCTTTCTATAATAGCCGCTAAAAGTATTTAAATTCTGTATATCTGTGGTTAGGGTTAGCGTTAGTTAGTTTTCATTATTTGTGGCACAAATTTCTACTCCACTATTTTTCTGACGAAGCACCTACTTAAGAAGTGTTGCCTGCAGTATTAAACCACACTTGCTATTACCACCGTAAACATGGGTGTTGTCTAATCAACCAGGCCTGAAATCTAAAGGATTACAACTTTAAGAAATTCTCTTCTCAGCTACATCAGACTACCAGATGACATTTAAATAATTTTTTTTTTCAGGTCTTTTTCTAGGAAGTTGAGTATGATCAGTATTTTAGGCCAGCGTACAGTGTAGAGAACAACTGTTTGTTTTTATGAGGACTAAATGATCTGTACAAGCCTAGATGTTTTAAATGTAAGGCATAACCCATGACAAGGTGTGCAGTTATTAAAAACTACCCAACGCTAAGAATGCTCCTGGTCTTCCCTCAACTTCACATTTTCATAAAAACATTTTTTTCCTTTTTTTTTTTTACAGAATAGCATAGGTTGAAGTGGATTATCCCACATTGTCACCTGCCAGCAATCCAACTTATGTTTTTGTTAATTCAACTTTTGGCAAAAGACACTATTTAAATGGAAACTTAATGTTGGCAGTATTTTAGTGAGGCTGTGAGTATTCATTTTTGAAGCGTCACAGCTGTCTGGTTATCTGAAAATCATGTGAATGGCGTAGATGTTAATAAAACATAAAAATGAGTTTGCCAAAGCAAATTCCTATCTTTGTTGCCTTTACAGTGTTGATCATGATTCTTAAGAAGACAGGCTTTCACACAGTTGCTTTGAGTAACTGCTGTTCTAAGTTAAAGACCTGGTTTCAATTATTTCTGTGTGCAATGAAAAAAGCACGGTTTTCTGCTTGGCCAATTACATTAAAATGCACACTATGCTTTGTAAACTTCCATAATATCTTATTATGCTGTAAGATCAAATAAAAGCAACATCTGTTTATTAATTCCCCTGTGCGACTTTGTTTACACCTTACAATACTATACAATACTATTACAGCAATAAATAATTTATGTCATATTAATAATAGGATAATGCAACATTGTACACTTAACTGCACATTAATTAAACCGTTTACCTTCAGTATCTCCATCCCCAGCTGTTATATTACTGGTCTACAATAGATAAAAAAAAACCTTCACAGGCAAAAATTTAAAATACAAACTGCAAACAACTTAAAATAATAAAGTGCCATCTCTGCCGTTTTATTGTCAGGATCATTATTCTCCTGCATGTCATAGAGACGATGTTGGTACATGTACAAGAAATTCAGAAATAGATTAAATATCAAATAAATACATTCAAACATAAATGTTAAAGTGCCTTTCGGAGGAATGGTCATTCAAATTACTTCCCAAATGGGGCTACATGTTAAATGCTTTTTTTGTATTGCTGTTAAGAAAGTGATCCACCTCCCCTTATCTTTTCTGACCTGTGGAGTGCTGTGATGACCTACAAATGGCTACAGCAAACTCATTAAGCTCCTTATCTATATTAAAAATGAGGCACTTTAAAAAAGAAGGTTCATCTGAGCTGAATTTCTAAATATTCATTCAATCATAAATAGGCTGGAAAGCAGCAGAACTGTGGCCAGGATTAGCAAACATGGTGGTCTGTGTTGGGCTCTGGAGGACGGGGACGGCCCTCTCGGTTGAGGAGGTCTAAGGACCAGCCTGCAGGGGTTCTGGACCTCCTGTTCGGAGATCTGGACCTCACTGGGTGGGTTCGAACTTAGCTGATTACGTACCTGGGGGTAAATAGAGTGAGACAAGAGAGGGAGGCAATACATAAAATGCTTTACGGTAGAAATTAATCAGCTGACAATCTCTTTTAAACTTGCAGTGCAAAGAAATCATTTAATTTACTATATATGTTAATTATTATTTTATCAATCTTGCAGGGTCAACAAGACTACTGTTGAATCTGAAAATGTTATTTTGAGCCAAAAAACAAACAAACAACTGCTATAAATTCTTGGATAAAGGTGGTTAGCGTGCAGACAGAAAGATGCCTTTTGTTTTAGGAAAAATACAATATACCTGCATATATTTCACGATATGATGCATATCCTTTACTTACTTATTGTTCTCTCCAGCTGAAACACTCCTTTGGCCATGACATGGAGTGCAAATGTGCTTTTCAGTTACCTACCTACCTTCATTTATCAAGGAAAGCTGTTCTTTGATATAACATACGTATATCACTCTTGCAGCTCACCCGCTCAACCTCCTCGAACACTCGCAGGAAGTTCCTTCGAAGGACATCAGCCAACTCAGTCTCAGTCCAGTTCCTCTGCAGGAGTTCCTGGATCAGGGCAGGGTACTTTGACACATCATCTAGCCCCTGAGGAAAGCTATTAAAAAAAAAAGAAAAAAAAGAAAAAAGAAAACAAACACATTTTTATTCACAGGTATCTATTCAGCAAGAGACATCACAGCATTCTGGTAGTTTGGTGTTACTTAATGCATTATTTATCATTAGGAATATGTAATTACAATAATATACACTTTAAGCCCTTCAATATAATTTGTTTTGTGACAAATTTTGGAATTGATTGAGTCTGTATGAAGGGAGTAACACAAGCCATTCTACAGCAAATCTACTGCAGCAGCCCTTTCTTTATGCCCGTTGGCCGTACAAAGTTATTGATTTTTACCATTTTCAGTCTGTTGACAGCTGAGACAGCTAAATTGTTGATATTATGACAGGCTAGCAAAAGCACAAAATTGATCTGGTTCAAGAAAAACCTCTGAAATATTTTGTCTGACAACAGCCAGAGAGTGGACCCGACTAGCACTAGAGCTTTGTTTGGTTTATTTGTCTGTATATGTAAGTTATGTCTCTTAAGATTGACATCCATCCTGGTCATAGAATAACAAAAAGCACTAAAGCAACTACAGTACTGTAGATTTACTGTCTGCAAACTGCATGTTCATTTGCCTTTGACTTTGTGCTTCTAGTTGTCTGTATGTTGTGCTGGCAAGTGATTATTCTCACCTCACAGCGCCTTCAAAGTCCCCTCCAATTCCTATTGACTCAGCTCCAATCACCTTCTTTATGTGATCAAAATGGTCTGTAAAACCCATGAGGAATAATGAATCAACTGGGCTATAAGAAATACAAACTTCACAATTACTCCATTACAAAAAAAGGAATCAAAATGGATGCCTCACCAGCCACATGAGAGATGTTAGCCTTGTCCCTGCAGGAAATAAAGTTGCTGTGGAGATTCACCATGATCAACCCTTGGTTCATTTTCTGAAACACAACACACACGTGTCATTGGCACATCTAGAAAAAAAAAAAGACATAGATAGAGAAGCGAACGACTAAAATGAGCTACGTATAAATACATTTTTCAGATACAACCTACATTTCTGTCTCAGCTATATGCATTAGTTGTGGTGGCAGATGTGGTAAACATCAGCTTTTCTCTTATCTCAAACACTATGAGTTGCAGTAAAGTCAACAACCATACATATAGAGGAATCAGTGGAAACATTAGAAACATGCCTGCACATGACGAGGCCAGAGTTGAGCTGAGGTTAAAATAAGGGAAATACAGTGTATCCATATTTTATATCCATATTTTTTCCATATGAATATATCCATATTCCTATGGTTTATTGATATTTGGTCTTCATTCATCACTTGCTGCACCAACAGGTTGATATATTGTCTGATGATGCCTATTTTACACTGACAATGAAATTAAAAACTCTGTGGATTTGAAGATGTTTTTTGGGATTGGTATGTATCAGCCAGTGTGCTGTTGTGGTGCCAGTCAGAGAAAGCATTTGGCTGTGAGGCAGGGAGGATTTCAGAATAACCTTCAATTAACCTTCAAATTAATCTAATTTTACACTAAAATAAACATTTAGAATGATGTGCAGTACACCGATATTAGGTATTTTAATTGCATAGAAAATACTTAAATAAATATGCAACTACTGACAAAAGATGATATTAATATTTACCCTGTAAGACAAAATGTAATTATATCTTTTAACACATATTACTGGCAACAGCGAGAACTTGATAAAATCAAAGAACAGCCTGTAAAAGCAACGTTCTAAACTCAAATGGGAAGTAGTGAGTAGTAATGAGTTAGAGCTAACAACTAAAGCTGAACAAAGAGTGACACAGACTAATGGCGGTTTAAAGACATACCCAGAAAAGAATTTGGGGAAAGAGAAAACATCACAAGTACAGAGTACAACTAAAATTACTGCCTCATGGTTGTCACAGACGGACAACCTTTAAACATAATAAATAATAACAATGATAAAAAGGCCAAAATCTGCAAACTGTTTTGTGGAAGTGATAAATGAAACAATGATATTACTGAACATTAAGCTTATCCTCCCCGAATTGTGTCCAACAAATAAAACACATTGCATGTTCTTTGTCAGAGGTGTAAATAAAAATTATATTTGAAATAAATTAATCAGTGACTTGACTGATAAGATAGTCATTTAATCAAGCAACTAAGTGGGCAATTAATCACTCAGTAAATTGGCTTTCTCACCAGCTCATGCAGCAGCCAATCAGGTACGTTGCGACCATGGTTACAGATGGAGTAGGAAGATGAATGGCTAAAAATAACAGGAGCCCTGGAATGGTTCAGCACAGCCAAGGCAGTGTCCCAAGAAGTGTGGGAAAGGTCCACTATTATTCCCAGTCTGTTCATCTCCTCCACCACAGCCTTGAAAACACCACAAAACCACTTAAGCAGCCATTTACAGTTTCATTGGAAAGAATGAAGTCAATTTAGCCAACAACAGGAGATGCTTACAAACATGCATATAAACACTCATGCAGATAGCAATCAAGGAAGTCCAGCATGCTGCTGTTGTTCAGAGGGCCAACAGCAAAGGAAATGCATTATAAAGATGTTTGTCACAAAATAAGTTGTTTATATTGTATAGCAGCATTGCTGTAATACACAAATACATGTTGAAGTACTTGCAAGTCCAATTTGGGTTAAAGCAGTTTCTCTGTAAACAGCCACTCAAGAGAACATTTTGTATGCACAGCATTACCCAACTTTGATAATAACAAGGTCCAATTTCATCAGCACAGTCCATAATTGGAGTTGTTAATACTTCAAAATGATCACATCCTCATTATCTGACTTTTTTAATTTACCGTTACTACCACCGCTATAGCAACCACAACAACTACCACAATAATGAAAATAAGAATAAATGTAACAAGAATATTAATTTTCTCCTTTGGCCACCAAAATCTAATCTGTTCCTCTCATTAACGAGATGTTGTGTTCATGAGAATGGGACAGACGGATGTGCCAACAGATGGACAACCCAAAAACATAATGCCTCCGGCCCTGGCTATCATTGGCACGGAGGCATAAAAAGTCCAGCCAAAATCTGCAAATCGTTTAGTGGAATGTGATAAATGAAACAAATCTGTAGTTAATATTACTGAAGATTAAGCTTACCTTCCCAAAATGTGTCAGGCTGTTATTCTGTCTTTGATAGACACTGTAAAGTTTTGAGGACGATTCAGCCCTGCATTGAGCAAGAATATCTTTAAAACTATAATTTTTGAAAATCTTGTTCATGACTTTGCAAAAAATATCTAAATATTCTTGTATTTAGGACATCTGAATGGGGTTTCTGTATTTTTCATCCGACTTTGGCATAGTCAGCTATGGGCAATGTCAAGTTTAAGAGAAAGTACAAATATAAGTTAATTTGCATTAAGGAAAAAATGTGTGTTTGACCTTTCCAACACAGTAAATAAACATGTGGCTCAGTATTTCATTTATTCTCTTAAAAGTTAGGGTTAGCGTGGACATCACATGGCCACTGCGAGACATGTTAATTTATATCATGAAATTAATTTAATTCATCTTGAATTTGTAATGATACAGCTCTGCACAAGTCTGACCTAATGAACAATGGAGGAGAAGATTTTGACAAAAAATTAGAAAAAACATGATATTCTGTTCAGTATTACACTGTACAGCTACAGACGTGTCGTAGGATATTTAAATTTCAAATACTCTGCGTCTGTATCTGTGCAGTTATATTTTAGCAGCAAAAAGGGTCATTTTTGGTCCCCCATGATATTCTAGGTAAAATACAACATTCAGGATGATTCTCTTCATTACCAGGGTGTATTGCAGGTATGTGTGAGGGCCATGGAGCGGACTCCAAGTTGGTAATACATCCGCAGGGCTGGCAGGCTGCTGTCAATGGAGTGCCCCCCCTCAATACTTATTAAGCATGCTATCTTGTGCCTCATCTCAGTATTCTTCAGTTCTGAGGTGACAGACACACATGGTTTGAGATTAAAGCCTCAAGTCAAAACAACAGCCAGTAGCTGTTTTAAGAGTGTGCAGTCATTAATTCAGATAAAAGCTAACATTCAGTACACGCCGGTGAGATGTGCAAAAATAAGCTTTGTTCCAAAGCACTGAGTAACTATAAATTTTAATTTTGCCAAACAAGGAATTCAGCATCTCTTGAAAAAGAACCACAGTTTGTTTTTGTGTTGTAATTACTTGTTAGAGAAAGGAACATCCCATTCTTCACAAGTAATTAACTTCTCATTAGATCATTATAATATTCATTCCTTTTTCCCAAATATGGACTGTAAAAAAGACATGATATACATTCATAGTACACAGAACTATTGATGGTTGTATTTTCGTAGAAATCCATATTAGAATGCACAGTACATCATAATTATACAAATGACTATAATTAATTGATTTTTTTGTAATCAATCACTGTTCATGTTTCTATAGTGTTTTTGTACATATCTAGCCTGTTATCCCATTTTGAGGTGAACTATACCTTGGGCAGATGTGACCAGCTCAAAGTCCTGGTACTCGGTGCACATGCGTCTGACCACATCTATTTGTTCCAGGGTCAGCCTCACAGCATCCTTCTCCTGGGCCCCACACAACACATAGACTGCAAACATCTGACAAAGGGAGAGGGAACTGAAGTGAAGGAGAGACATTTGAGTAGCTGACGTGACTGCCATTCTAGGTTCGATCTCTCCAAAACATAATTTTAGTCATAGAACCGCTGTCTGCCTTGAACGAAGCTAGTCTTTGGTGCAGTCCGCACTCTTGAAGAAACACCGTCAGAAAGAAAAGACTGACGAAGTAAGTAAGACAATACCTGTGCCTGTACATGGCCTGCTTGGAGGCGGGTGATGTCAGTGGCCACTTTGCTGACGTTATGAAGGTCAAATTGACTCAAGCGATTGTTGTGAAGTATCCTCAGCTTGAGAGGTAGGTCATTATGACTAACAGATGGAGTGAGAGGGTATAAGCAAAGTAGGAGGGACAGGATAGAGAAGTATTTTAATACAACTTAATTCATTTATTTCCATTAATGTGACTCGTGTAGGCAAGACATTAAACATCCTTTACCCATCAATAAGAGGATATCTGGACATCAAGTCGTGTACTCTTTCTCTCTCAGAGTATCCAGATATAAAATGACACAAAGAGGAGAGTACCAACAGATTCCTGAGGGACAGTATGCAAAAGCCGCTTAAAGCACGTGTTGAAGTTTTCCTAGGAAGCATATTCTGAAGAGAAAAAACACACCCGATTACAAGTATCTGATAGTATCTGATATTACAGTGACAGCTAGAAATAAAACATGGTAGGATCATTATTAATCTAAGGCTTCATATATCAATGCATATTCTAAGTCCTACTTGAAATACATTACACTATGACTCTGGTGAGATTAAAATGATGGTAGAACGGAAACACACAAATTTAAAGGTGTTCGTAATTTGGTTGCCTATTTGTGAAAATGCCCTCTGGACAGTAAAACAATGATGCATGCTCATTTTCAAGAACAGTTTTTATCCACATAATAGTAAGAAACAATTTACTTGAAAACACACAATACACACTTACCAGGCAGGCCGGTTAACGAGTAACGTATTTACCACTTTGTTGGACAACTGAGTATAAACAGCACGAACCTTCCAGCTCTACGCCCTAGACAAACTGTAGAGCAAACCTATTAAAAACTAGCAGCTGTGCTGGGTGCTGCATTCAAACCAGTCGGAAAAATTAGCAATACATATGTCGAGTTTACTTAGTGCAGTAGTACAGTGACTGTAATAGCAATTGCTCCTACAGTGACAATGGCAATTACTGTGTCTTGCAGGTTCCAGCTCTAGAGGGACGTTATCATCTGCCGTGCTTCCTTATTGTCCCCTTTTAATTTTCGAAGCGTGAAGGTTTGTTAGTAGACAAGTGTGTTTCTAACGATGAAGGTCAGAGAAACAAATGTCTCAAATGATAATACATGTCACTAAAAATGTTACACTAGAGAAATTAATCAAAATTTCATAGGATTCATAGTTGCCATGCGTAGGGCTAGTTTTATTTTTGAACCAATTTACCTGTGTTGCCTCTCTCGAATTTAAGTATTTAGGGGGCACATGAAAGCACCGCTGAGACGGGGATTTGATGTTGCCATCTGCTGGCCAAATCGCTACCTTTAACGGCTCATGGGTCCAGATAGTTGATTCCAATGTAATCAGCGTATAATTGACACGTTTGAACTGCTGATATACATTCAGGTCAGTCGGCTACCATGTTTGTGTTTTGTAAAATAATTGATTCAGTAAAAGGTAAGCTGTGTTGACAACGCCTTTACCTTCAAAAAAGCGTCTCTTCTAAAATATTGTCCAGATTTACAGACCGCTCAGGTTGTTTGGCAAAATGCTAAGTAATGCTGTAAGTAAGAAAATGACGGCGCTCTAATTTGGTGATATTTCAATACTCAAATAAATATATGAATATTATGAATATAATAACTTTAAAATAAAATAAAAACAAAAACTTTCTCTTCTTCCACTTTCCCCCACAAGCTAACCAAGCTGTTAGGTCACTTCCGGCTACCATCCTTGTTCGGCTCAAGCGTTGCAAGTTTTGAGATAAGTTTAAACTCTTAAACTTTTCGTCTTGTATAGCACGGGGAGGGGTTTTGTTGGTGAACCAATGAAGATTTGAAGAATCTAGAAGTCGTCTAAACTGGGGTAAGTGTTGTTAAGTTTTCGCTTGATGATTTCATTTTTTCACTGGCAGGTGTCAGTGGGCCTTTTGCAGTAGACATTTTGATTTGTTATAGTATAAAGCACAGTTGTACTAATAACCCCTAATGTGCTACACGCGTCCCAGTAGCCATGGCTGTGGCATAACATGCAATACATTATAATTCAGCTATCGTTAATTTCATTAGTTACACCTGTGCTTTTCTTACTGTAACATGTCACAATATCTTCTCTGAAAAATGCATGCTTCAAATGTGAAAATGATGATGGTCGCTACAAAGAAAGGCTTATAACATAGAACAGATCACAATTTTAATGTTTTGATATAAAAACAACATGATTTAATGAAAATGTATGTTGTTTTTTTCTTTTTACTACAGTAAATACAGTAAAGCAATAAAGAATTGTTTTTCCAGGGAGCTGGTGGACTGTACCTCTGCTCAGAAAATAAGGTGTGGCAGCATGTATCTGCTTCAAAAAAAGTTTGGAGTTGGACATATGGAACATGCAACAAGATGGGGCAGGAACAATATCTCCAGGTAAGAGTGCCTTTACCTTATAAGATATTGATTATTTTTCCCCCTAAACACTATCCACGGTGTGAGCTGCTTATACATTTTCCCATTAGACTGATACACAGCTCTACAAATAGCAACCAAGCTTCGACAGGTTTGGTACAGTTTGCATGAGTTTGGTTCTTTAGTGTTAAGTGGAAGAGGAGGTCTTAATAGTTTCTAAGAGCAGTGGTGGGAAATTGAATCCATTAGCTGCTAATGTTTTTTTTTTTATTTTTTTTTTTATTACTTGAGTAGTGCTTTGTTTTGGAAAGAGGGAAACGTTAGCCTACGGTGCCTAAATTGTGTGTGTTCTATGAGCTTTTAGGACTGCATGAGATGCAAAACAAGGGCAGCAACCATGTGGCCTGTGGTTTATCATTTCCTTGTGCATGGATAAAGGCATGCCAGTCATCACATCTGTTGTTCTAGTATTTGGTTGGAACAAATGTCTGCAAGACTGTTAATGGAGTACATTTTGTGGGCAAGACAACTTTTCATTACTATTTGTGGACTTATACAAAACACCAGTCCAAATACATGAGCTGTATCCACTTGAATATGTGTTAGGTTGTCAGTTATTGCTGCCCCAAACCTTGAGCCTCTGTGTGCCTGTTCAATAGGAGGAGATAATTTCAGGAATCACTCACCTGGAGCAATACCTTGGTCAGATTGCTTTGCTTTGCCTTAACAAGAATCATTCCCGGAAAGATGCATTTTATACTGTGAACTGCAGCTTACAAGCTGGCTTTAATGTAGAGGCAAAGACCACTGAATACATCATCTGCTCTTACAGTCTTTCAAACTTAAAATGTGTTTCTGCTTAATGAATCCAGGGTGGATTGAGCAAATGTAAATGAGTCTTGTGTTGATGGAGAGCATCAGGGTGCCACAAATGAATTTCAATTAATTTCAGTGGGAAGATGCAAAGCCTGATTCGGGGGTCCACCCACTGAGATTTGGCCTTGTAGTCTGTAATGAGGAGAGTGATTCGCCTCTGATTGGAGCACCCTACTGCTTCAATGGAGTAATCACAACTGTGTTGATATTACTCTACCAATGCTCTCACTGTGCGGAGTGGACCCCCAGCTGACACTGTTTGAATTCAAATTAACCAAATCATTTAGTCATATTGCCGACCTTGGCGTGGAGTGTGACTGGCAATACAAGAGATAAAAATCCCTCATGTTAAACTGAGTCTTTACAGTTCGAAGAGGGAGCTTGAGCCAAATTGTTATTAGTGTAGCTGGCTGCTGTACCTGTTTTAAACAATGTGGTGGAAAGCATGTATTCAGGGGTAAGGTCACTATCCACTAAACCGATTCAGAAAATCGACTTTGTAAATTATGTTTTTTCTTTAAAACCCAAATGAAAGACTGTGGTAATAGCTTCCTAGACAAGCACTTTGAAGGAACTTTAGAAAAAAAGCACAACTCAATTAGAAAATGCCACTGGCCTCGGGCACCCTTTTTTGCCACAAGTACCAGTAATATAAATTGTGGAATTTTTAATTCTGCTACTTTTAATAATAGTTTCTAAAAAAGTGCATTTTGGAAGACTGCAGTATTCGCATGAATTTGCAAGAATATTTGCAGAAAATATTACATTTCTAAATATTATTATTAAAAAATTAATTGTTTTAATTTAAATGCTGAGATGAGTTGCTGAAATTAGATTATAAAATGCAAATTATTAGGCAGTCAATATTCTATTGAAAATTATAGTTGTGCTGTAGAGAAGTTTTTATTGCAGTATTCTATCATTTTACAGTTTATATAAAATACTCCACTTGCTTTGTCAGGCTTATATCTGTCTTTACGCTTAAAACAAACCAATCCTACATACTGCACTATTATGGAGTCTGATTGTAAATGTTCCCTGTCTCTGTCTCTTTTGTTAGCTACAGCTTGATAATTATCCCACCAATGTATCTGACAAGTCTTAAAAGCAAACTGTTTTTGGGTGATCAGTCCTGGAAGAAACACTGTCACCCAATGAGTCGTCAAACTTGAACGGCCATATAGGTTGTTTGCTGTCCGTACTTTCTCGATGTGACCCATAACAGTGTCTCCTGAAATTGCGCCAATATAGAGGTAGGCGTACTTGACGTTTGACATCATAGTTACAATAATAAACGTACGGTTACAGAACAGTCATGTTTGTTTGCTCCCATCATATATCTGCTAGAGGTCGCTTAATAGTGAAACAACACTATGGATCATAACAAACTACTTGCACAGATGACCCACAGGCTCGTGTTGTGCAGGACAGTCCCCTGTCACTACTGCAGGATATGGTTGCTAGTTAGTAAAAAACTTAAAATGAATGAATCATTTTTAAATGTTTAACCCCTTCATCCATTTTCTGCTGCTCATAGTTTTAATGTTGTGGCTGACTATGGTGTATTAAATTGCTCTGTGTTATTAAAGAGGTCTTAAAACGGCTTTAACTTTGTGAACCCTGCAGAAACCCTGTATCAAAGAAAACTAATTGAAAAGAATGTAACTCAAAACCTAAAACAAATACTTTCAGCCAAATGGCCTCAGTAATAAAAGCAATAGTCCAGTCTTGGTTGCCGGGCAAGGTTTTGTGCAAAGTCGTATTTGTTATTATGAAGACCTCAGGGAAGAAGAACTATTAATTTGCTGCATTTTTGATAGCTGTTGCATATACAGTTTTACACAGTGTAAAAAACTGCATTCTTCAAAGCCGTAGAAAAGTCTGTGGAAGGCTCTTTAGCTCCTTGCTGTTTCAAGTGTGAGATGCTTAAGAAAATCTCTGTGCCAATGATTTCAATGATTATATTGATCACACTGGAAAGGGGGATCCAATTACACACGTAGAGGCAGAGGTTGTTCATCACTCTCAGTGCTGAGTAGATGTCTAGGAATATTAATAAGCTACCCAGGAGCACTGCACATAACACTTTGCATGTTTTCACTTCTGAACACAGCCAATATTTTAGAGCAGATGAGTCTTCATATTAAACACAGTAGAATTGTACTTTCCCCATTTTCAGAGGGCAACAGCTGACCAAGGGTTTATTTATTTCGGGCTCACTAATTTCACTAGACTTTTAGTTTATCGTCATTTTCCCTCAAGATTGAAGTGTCCTGCCTCACCTTTTTTATTGGGCATTACTGAAACAGAGCAAAGCGAATCTTTGCTGGAGCAGACATGTAAGCGTCCAGTGTTTGTGCTCATTGGTGTGTTTGCCTTATTTCACAAATATCAGTCACTAAACATAGCCTCTCCAGTTTCTCATCATAACTGTTTACTCTGGAAGAGACTCTACAGTTATGAGTGCTTTCCATAATATAGGCGACCTCCTTTATACTTCAAATTCTTTAAGCTAATTGAGTCTGAAGTCCTTTAAGGGTGAGGAAATGATGATAAAAAGGGTAGAATGTAGCCTTTTTACTTTTTGAAATTAAAGTAGGAAAAAAAGCCAACATTTCAATATCCAATATCCAAAAAAAAAATAACACCACCCAAGGCTCTCATTTGCTTTTTGTAAATTCTGTTATATTTTTAAAACATGATAATAAGTTCATCAGACAATGATGGTCTATTCTGTGACCATGTAACTTGGATGCCCAAACCCCCTAGTGCACAGGGCCTTAAATGTGTGTCTAATATACCAGTAATGGCAACCTTGAGCAAGGATATGGATCTTTTTCTGTAGTTGACTTTGAACTTATGTGTCCACCAGAGGGCAGCGACAGTCAGAACAAAACCTTGTTGGTTTTCCTCACCTTTGTAAATCTATCCCTCCATATAAAAGACATTATTAAAAATACCTACATAATGCACAGAACTGACAGATTCATGTTGCTAAAAACATTATATGTGATGCATAGATGATTTAAAGAGCCTGAGAGAGAAATACTTTAAGCAAATGTAATTTTGCCCAAGTTTCCTACTAAATTCTAACAACACAATGATGTTATAAACTATAACATTTTCACATTAGTATCCACTGAGTCATAGGTGATGTTTTTTTTAATTTAATTTAATTTAATTTTCTTTATTTTATAAATGGACTTTAGTGTGAATACATTGTACCTTCGTTTTCTATCAGGGCTTCTTATAGAATGCTAAAGACATTTTGGTCTCTAAACTTCTCATTTCTTTTGCCCTGGATTCTGGCAGCCTTGTAGTCAGTGTTCATTATCTGCTCTTACAGCTTTGACTTCAGCACAGCAATTACATCCTCAGCTGCGCTGATTAATCCAACATGGAGGCATTTCACAAAATGGTTTTGAAAAGACATTTCCAGACACTTACCAGGGAGTAGCTGTGGCACGGCTTGTTTATGCAGATAGACCACAGCCAGTCATACTGCAATAAGATGTTTTCAATGGCTGCTTAAGTGTTCTCTTAACCTCTAGTGTACACTGTGCATAAAACAATAGACTGTTCGGAAAATGATTAATTTAATCTATTTTCCTCTGACATGAAATGGAGGTCTGCTTGATGTCATGTTTGGGTAATGTATGTTTCGCTATTGTTGAACATATTCCCTCCATGGCCATTCGTTAATATGTCTCCACTACTCTCTGCTTAACTGCTTAACCTTCCATTCTCTCCTGGCAATCACATAATCAATCACTGTCCCATTACTTGACAAGGCAGACAAAGAGAGTGTATGAGTAAGAAAAACCTTTTGGCCTGTCTCGACAAGCAAGAGGAATGTCGACTTCAGAGGCTAACACAGGCAGAAAACATAGGCCCAGTAAATATTCAATTTAAAGGATTCCCAGATAAGGCGAGTTGAAAAATTGAGGCAGCACCCATTCTTCTAGATAAGAGAAGACGGAGCCATCTGGAGGCTGGGAGATAGCGAACTCCCACGCCATCCCAGAGACCTCACTCTCATCTGCTGCAGCAGCAGAGAAGGGAAAAATAGAGTGCCAACACTTTCATTATGTTAACTTGAAAATGAATTTATTCACATTCAGTGCATGTAGTTGTCGGCTTTGGTAAACATAAGGTTACTGTTGTGTCCACCACGATAGTAATTTATGATTGGTCAGTCTTAACATAATGTTGTCCTTCTTTCATGATTCAATAGCTCTTTAGTAAGATATCCATAAATATTTAAAAAGTACAAATAGTGATTTCTCTGCGTTACCATTTTGAAGTAATCATTAAAAAAAAAATCCAGCTGGATCTTACAGTGTCATTCATTCTACAGTTAAATCTTTAAGTCTACTGCATTAACAACTACCAAAAAAAAATCCATGCCTGACCTTAATAATCTTTAATATGTCCACCCTCCTTTGACTTATCCTTCAATATTGAAGATATGGGTAATGAAAGCAGCTTAACCTGTTTTTCCTTATTTGGTCTGTTTCATAGATAGAGACGGTGTTTGAAACATTTTAGCACTGAGTTTAAATGCACTGTGTGCATATAGTCCAGTGTTAACCAAACTCAAATAGTACATTTTAGGCCTAGGCCTGTATCTCCTCCAAATCCACCTTGACTGCATCTTTGAAAACAAACGTTATTGGCAAAATAGACTCTGAGCTTTTGAGTAACCTTGTCCACGTTCTTCTAATGCACTTTGTTGACTCCTGCACCATGCTATTTCGTGCCAGCCACATTGGATTTAGCTCCAGGATAATGCTTTTGTCAGTATGTTTTATCTGTTCTCTCACTCAGGTACGCTGTGCTGTTATCCCTAATTACCCCCACTGCATTTTACACTTGGCCCAGAATTCTTAATGCTTGATAACAGATGCAGGTCGATTCGAAATTTACTTATAGCGGCATTATCTTTTTGACCTGCATCGCAGGCTGACTGTCCCATAGGCTCTTGGGTGAAAGCTGTTAACTCTGTGATAACAACGACCTGAAGTGATAACCTTCCAGCAGTCTTGAGGACACACAGTTTGCTACATATGTGCTTTATTGCAGTGGCAGCATTTCTTATTCAACCTTGGTTGTTCTGCTGTGCTCTGATTCATTTAATGGAATTGAGAGGGAGGTTAATCACAATGCCCGCCACTGGTTAAGTGCTGGCTGACCACTATATGAAATATTACGATTTGTATTCCTTTGAAAGACGAATTTGAACAGAAATGCCACAGGAGTGAATTTTCTTTTTTTCCTCTATTTTAGGCTCTAATAGAATTGTCTCCCCAGTTAGGAGTCACTTTGATTAATTTACTTTGGGAGGCCGATATCTGCGTTTGCAGATTTTCATTAAGATCAACAGTAAAAGCTTCAGACAGGGTTCCACTTGTCTAAGTTATTATCCCCAGAAGACATGCTTGATTAAGTGCAAAAAGTTTTTGAATGAAATAATTCTCAGGAAGGTTTATTTTGTTTGTCTTATTTAGGACAACTTTTTCCAAATAATTTGTATAGAAAGCTTTTATCCATAAAACTCGATACATAGCTGTTTTTTTGTCTTTTTTTCTATCACTGTGCATTCTGCTCAGAGTTGTATTTTGATCCGATTGCCATACTTGTCTGCAGCATCCAGTTAAGCTTCAGCAATTACTCAGAGGTACCTTTTTTGCAACTAAAATGGTATCTAAATGGTGTGAAAATGCAGAGAGGCAATGCATAAAAAATGTCAGCTAGAGAGAGTCTGTATTCATTTCATTTATTATGTCAGTCAAGTACAAGTGCATAGTGTTACTGTGAAAACTTGGCTCTTTTTAGACCACATTGTTCAGCATATTATTTTGAGAAATGTCTGTAGCGGAAAAAGAGGTAGACTGTACTATACAATAGATATGGTGGGTGGGTAGGCCTATAGGCTGAAAGGGGAAGGAGTGTAGCACGTTGCCTTGGTTTCATATTTTGCAGGAACAGTATAGTGTGAAGCTTTGTCAAGCCAAGTTTTAATCCTTTTCTCCACTGTGTTGTGTGATGTTATGTTGTTATCTTAATGATAATCTGTGCTTGTATTTCTGCCCTAGGCATTTCTGTCAGGCTGGGTCGGTTTAGGAGCTGTGCCTTATCAACAGCTTTGTCATTAAATCAGGTTTTTCTACAGACAAATTTCACTGCCGTTATTCTTATCAAAAGATCAACACACTGTGATTTTCTGTTCAATCAGAGCTTTGCAAATGCAATGATGTGTGAGTAACACAGATGAAATACAAAACAAAATTTCCATTGGGAAAAAAAAACAATTTATTTAATTTTGTTTTCATGAGAGATAATAATCAGACAAATAAAATTGGTATGTTTTGCATTTGTCATATCATTAATGGCTTTAAGCTGTTTTTATTTAATGTTCTTGGGTCTTCCTTATGTATTTGTAAAGACTACACTTAAGAACATGGAGGAATAGAGATGATTGTAACATAATGCTAATAAATTATTTTGTCCACAAGCTGTAGATAGTTTACTGCAACCAGGAATCTGGACCTGTGCAATTCATGGCTTTTTCTTTTGTTGGTGTGAAATGGGATGTGAATGTGTTAAAGATGTTATAGCACGGTAGCACACATCATCACAGTTTTGTGGATGTGGGAGACCGTGTTGGACGTGCAGAGAAACACATCCCTTAAATTCTATATGTAGAGAGGCAAGCTTTTAGGTCCCAGTCAAACTGACCTCTGGAGGCTGGAATTGGTACTCAGTTCTTCTGAGAAAGCACTGTTCTGTCTGAGTGAATGTTCTGATTGTCTCAGCATTGTGCTTGAGTGGAGGGCAGCGCCAAATGAACTCCTCTGATTCAATCCTCTCCACTGTTTGACACCGGTTCAGCCAGTCATTGAGGAGGGAGGACTGAGACTCCTTCCCCCAAACACATTCTCTTACAGTGAGTGAAACTGCTGTATGGCAAAGGTCCGAGAGGTCTCTTGCATGTTTTCTGGGAGGCAGATTCGACACCCTCTTTCTCCTCCCACAATGCACTAAGAGTCTCTGGAGGTTGATAACCTGGCTCCTGCGGATCCAGGGGGTCTTTGGAAAGAAGGATGCTGATGGAGGGCACAGTCCTGTGCACCGTCATCTCAGATGTCCCCCCTTCAGTGCTCTCCCACACCTCTTTGACCACCTTGTACTGGAGTTTAGTCAGTTGGTGCAGAGAGCCCACTTTTCGTTTCATGATCTCAGCACAGGTGATGGTCTTTGTGACTGCACGGCCCGACCCAGTGAAGACCACCTGCCTCAGTCCACCACCAGTCACACCTCCCCCACTTACACCCTTCTCTCCCTGCATCCGTGCCATGGCAAATCCCATTAAATTGCGGATTTTACTTCCCTCCTTCACGCGCATCTCCAGCACCCCAGAGGCCAATCCTGGAAAGGGACAGGGGCTGTCCTCCTCAGTTCGGCAGACTTTCTTGAACCCCTCCTGTCCTAGTTTGAGTGCAGGGGGAGGGATTGGTAGTGGCGCTGGCTTCAGCGGGCTGGAAACATTGACCACTGCTGGCTGACCAGCATTGCTGTGAGTTTGACCCTGGTAGACAGCGCAGGTCCCGGGGATTACCCCATTCTCCATTTGGATCGGTCTGTTCACCTCCAGTCCTGGGTGGGGCCTGACGGCGTCTCTGGTCAGGTACTGGTTCGGGCCGGTGACCACTCCACACCCTGTGAACATTTCTGCTGTCCTCAATGCTCTACTGCAGTGTTAGTCCAGACACACACTTGGAAACAGCTCAACATCATTTTCTTATGTATGTGGCACTTTTCTCTCCCTCCAGTCAACAGCTGCAAAGTTTCAAGACTTCATACAAGAAATATTACCCGCTCCCCAAGAGCACTATCAATGAAGTCTTTAATGCTCCCTCTCAGAAAGAGCTGGAGAAATAAGATAAACGCCTGGCTGGTGAATTAAGAGCACTGTCGGGACCATTCAAGATGTTCTTTAAAGAGCATCTCAATTTCAAACCACAAATGACTATTTGGAAAGTGCTCTGGAGACGGATAGAAATAACAAAAAAATACTAAGCTAAATTATCCTCTTTCCTTCGTTTATATTTCATATGGTGCTTTTAACCTTAATAGCTGCAAAAGATATGGAGTACTTTGTAGATTTTTCTTTAACGAAACTTTTCTACAGAGAAACTAAAAGCTCAAATTATGACTCCACCTTTTTCTTAGCGGTCCAGTCCAGCGTTGTTGATTTTTATCTGCTGATCATGTCGCTTTCAACTCAAAATCGACCTCTTGGGTTGTCCAGCTGTTAAGGTCCACCTCCTGTTTTGGACTCGTGGATGTTTTACTCCAGCTTGAGTAGGTCTTTGTCTCCTCTCCTTGTGCTCATCTTGGCATCCACTGAAGTTGAGGTCAGGGTTGCATGGAGGGCTGCACCTGTGGTGTCCTCCCTAGAGCTCTGTCTTGTCTCCAGTGATGCTCTGGGAAGTCTGTTCTGTTCCCCACAAAGAGACATAAGGGACAGGAGCTGCCTCACAAATGCTCACAGGAGGAGTGTCTGTGTGGTTGAGGGGGAGCATGAGGGAAAGGGGAGACAGCCCTCTTAAAGGCGCAGGTCTTTTCATCTTTTAGATGAACACCCTCCCCTCCACAATTGAAGCCTGCCATCTGAGGAAAAAGAGGAGGGTAGGGCTACGGTGTCCCTTTAAAACCTAGAACGCAGATCCCCGGCAACTTTGTCAATCTCTTTAGAGGACGTTCCAGTGTTCAATGTACATGACTGATTAAACCTGAGTTCTGAAATAGAGACTCAGTCAACCTTTAAAAATGCATTTTCAGCTACGAAACAATGAATTAAATTAGCTCTGTTATAATTGAAAACATCCTTCAAAGAGCCACTGAAAGTCAGCAGCATTAAATTGCACTGTACTTAGCCTTTATCCTATTAGATGTTTGTGACCATTACAATTTACATAATGCAGCATTAATAGCTTCATTGTTGAAGCAATCAAGTGGCACGGTAAGAATGCCTGTCTCTTAACGCTTGGATTGTTATATTGTTACAAGGCTGGAGAGCCCTTGTGATCAAGGACACAAGGACCACAAAAAGCATAGAGGCATGACTTCCATGTTCAAGGTGCTGTATTAATAGTGACTGTCTTCATTAGTCTGGCGTATCTGTGCAGGTGAGGAGATGGGGCTGACAGGTGGGGTAATAAGCATCTTAATGGGCTTTCCATCACCAGTGGAGGGCGCTGGCTTGCTCCCTTCTGCACCGAGTCAGGCCCAGACAGCTGTAGCATCGCCCTGTTCAGCTCGGTCTCCTGGCCGACAGGTGGATTTGTTTTTGTGTGTGACTGACAGATGGGAGAATAGGTAAAGACAGCCCACTGAGGCTGAACCTATGAGGCCAGAAGAGAGAGGCAGACAAGTCCTAACTACTCTCTGCTCAGTATATCCCATGGTGCACAGTAGTACACATACAGCATAAACTCACTCTGGCTCGGCCCAGTCCTTACTGTGAGGTTAATTCACAGTGGCATGTGTATTATATTGGATCCCTATGGTAATCAAGGAAAAATAAGGAAACCCCCTCCACCAACTCCAACTGGCAAAGTGGAAACTTGAATGTCTTTTTATTAGCAGAGTTTGAATGGAAAGAATCAATAGACTGATTAGATGCATGGAATGATTAACTTTTTTCTTTTTAATGCGTATGTACGGGGTGGGAGAGCTATTTATCTCTGGAACCCTTCCAGACACTGCAGGAGACGTAGTAACAAATATCTTTCTTTTTCTTGGCTTTTTGTAAGCTAAAAAGAAGACGGGAGAGAGGAAAGACAGGGTGGGAGGGAGCGTCTGTAGCGCTCAACACCAAAGTGATCATTCTGTTGTTTGGGAGAAATTACCCTCATCAGTCATACAGAGATGCACAGCTGCCTAAGGGGATCTGGTAATGTTACTGCATAATAAACTGTGTTTGTGTGTGTGCACACGTTTGCGCGTTCAGACTGAGCGTGAGAGGAGGCAAGAAAGAAATGTAAGAGGGCAGGGGGTAAAAGAAGTCTGATTTAACCACAGAGAGGTTAAAATTGATGATAAAAGCAGCTCTGTAATCATCCCTCCTTACTACATGATGTTGGCACGTCATTTATTGCTTCTCAGCTTAACTTTAGGAACCTATTTGCCGGTGGGAATGTGATAGATTAAGCAATTCAGCTTCTGAGCAAAAATACAGGGTTCTGAGAAAAGTGTCTTCAGACACATATTCACAACATTTTGTGTCTGCATCAAAGACAAAACTATTCTCCAGATGGCTAAATAAAACCATCAGGGCTTTGCAGAAGTGCCGTGCATTGACTTTTTTGAGCAGAGCTTTTTTCCTTTAAGTGGCTTCATTTAATGATGGGTAGAGGCGGTGGTGCTCACGCTTGGTCACTCACTCCTTCACACCTCCTCCAGAGTTGGCCTCTGCTCCCGTAGCTCTCTAAGCACTTACTCCTCACTTTATCTGACCTTGGCTGGCATCTGTGACAGTCTAGGCATTCTCTCCTGCACGCTTACTTCCTCCTCTGCGTTCAGCAACCACCCTCGGCTTTCTCCCCAGCCCACCATAATTTAAGTAAAGAAAAACCATTTATTCTCAGGGACTGTGACAAATAGTAGTGGTTGTATCTTGCTCTTCTCTCTCTTTGCTATGTACTTCAGATGTCTGAAGTGGTTGCTGTTATGAATTGTGGGGCTGTGCCTTTGTTGTTTGTTGCAGCACTGCAGTCTAGTTGTAGAGGGGCTTGTTGTGCTGTTGTCAGGGCTGCACATAAGCACGGTGCCTCGCTGTGACAGCCGGTCGCTCACTTTACGTTAACCGCAAGTGTTTTCACGGTCATCAACCAATGGTGGCCTGGAGGCTGTCATTTCGCTCCGTGTGGAGCTCGCCCGCGGCTTGGTTCTGCCCCACAAACTCACAGCCGGGCCTGGTGGGGGGACAGAGCAACACACACACATGCATATGCACACACTTACAGACACACACGCCCACTGGATAGGCACACACGCACACGAAAAACTATACGCTCAGCATAAGGCAGGCTGTTGGAGCAATTACAGAAACATGGCAGAACACGATGAAGCAGGCCCTACTATCAGAAGGGAAATAGAGTGAGCAGTGGAAAAATGATGACGCCATTAATAACAGGGAGGCTCAGAGGCTCGCAGGGAGGTGGGGGTGGATGACCCTCTCTGTGATTTCCCTGTGACAGCACTTTGAGGTGCAAATGGTTGTGTTTGTATTAGGTTTTTGGACGTTTAAATGGGCATGTTTTTGCTTCAAAGGCAAAATAAAAAAAAAGAAAAAAAGAAAAATATATAAAATATATATAAAACCATGGTGGTGTAATATACCAAATGATGCGTGAAGTGATGTTTTTCTGTCACTCATGCATCCATTATTTTGGTAAATGGCAGGTCAGACCTCCTTATTCTCGTTCGCTCTTTCTGGCTCTCTGTCTCGAGCTATTCATACACATCTCTTCTCCTCCAGCCGCTGCTTTCCCCTCGGCACTGCAATGCAGATATGTCTCGCACAGTGGCAGGAAACTTTGAAGACGCTTGTGAAAGAGGAACATGAGAGAAAGGAGGGAAGGGCATGAAAGGGATAGAACCAAAACTGGGAGAGGACAGAACTGGTGAGAATATATGCAATACTACCAGAAGTGATTAAAAAAAAAAAAAAGTTTCTGCACTTGGAAACCCTGAGCATTAGAATGTGAAAAAGAAGCTGAAGATGACAGAAAAAAAACAAACAAAAAAAAAAACACTGACATGGCAACTCTTGATTTATGAGACCTGTCAATGACAGTGATGTTTTTAGCTTCATCAACTACACAGCTTTACAAGGCTATCGCATCGCCTAACAAATGTTTTGATGTTTATGAAGTACCGCCATGATATAAAAGGGTGGATTTTTTTGGTTCATCATGAAATTGAATTGAGCAGAGGTGACCCCTGTTGATCTATGTTTTTAGGTGTATTATTGCTCACAGTTTGATTACCAGCACTGCCTCTAATTTAAACTGGCAGCAGCAGTTGATAAGAGCATTTGTGTTTGGTGCCTCTATTTTGTCTGGCCTCAGGCTAAAAGTTAATGGACTTCATAGAAAATGTTTTGATCAGTTATATCAAGAATTAATTGGCCATGTTGAAACAAATGCAAAAAGTAAATGAATGCCTCAGAGCGAGTATTCACTAATTCTGTAGCTTTCAACTTGGGAATCTAAGTGTAGTGTAGTGTATATTTGTAGACAAACCAACAGACATGGATCTCAGCAAGAGAAATTGCATATCTGATGGGTAGCATCAACATCCAAGAGAACAGAAAGACAAAGCTGAAGCTGATGTTAATGGCGATGCCATGTGTTTGGTGCTCTAAGGCAGTATGTTCTTACTCATCATCGAGGGCATTTTATGAAATCTGGTAGACATAAAGTGTCATAATATTGATTTGCATTTACCAGCCCATTTAATACAGATCACTTTCCCTTCTTGGTTTAGACGTATGATTGTCTGACATTCCAGGCAGTCTGTATTTATTTTTTGTCAGTAATTTCAGGTTTTGAACCATTGTAAACATTAGACTGTGAACTTTCATTTGAATGTTTTAATCCCTAATATTTTCATCATACCAAACCATACTGATACTATTTACATGGGGGATTTTCTAGTAAT